GTACAACTCACTGACTCTTTGTCATTTAGCATGATAGAATAAGTTAAATCCTAGTTGTACTAGATTAAATTCTGGAATTTTAGATAATGTTTTTGGGATTGAAGTCTTGATTTTGTCCATTATTGAAAACTCCAATGAGACACCTTTATTTTCTATGTAGTTTTACTTTGTGTAGCTAACCCATAGTCCCTGTCATTTAAGTTACGATTAAGGAGGAACATTGAGGATGTTCAACAGTATTGGGAAGAGGGTGGTCCTGGGTTTACTGTCATTAGTGAGAAATTTGTCCCAAGTTTTGGTTTCACTGGGAGAGATTTTTCTTGGGTTTTGATCATACTGAAGGAATGATCCTGGTAGGAAGCTGGGAGTTAGTAGCATAAATTTTAAACTGGGGAAGGTGGGATGGAGGACTCCTAAGGCTTATCCAGGATGAGGAGGAGATAGTGTCAGGCTGAGGAGGCAATATCCAAATTTGGTAGCATTTATTTAAATCTTTGAGAATTATCTACAAACACTGAGTCCGGTGTTTTCTGAATGGTTCTTGGATGTGTGAATTTCCCTATAGTTCTTTATGAGCTTTTAATATTATGGAGGCCAGAACCGTGCACAGTGCTCTACACATAGACTGACCAAGGTCCAATAAAAGTACTGTAATAATTTTGAATTTTATAGCACATGAAGACATTGATGGTATAAGATAAAAGGAGGTGATCAGACAAATAAAGAATCAAATCATAAATCCAAAGGAGGTATAAACTTTTCCAGAATGTTCGAGAGGAAATGGAAACAGTGGTTAAGATATAAACTGGTTAAACTCAATGTGGAGTCTGGAAGACTGTAAAGAGCTCAGCAGAAAGATGAAGTGGTTCACCGAACACTTGTAGGAGGCTGCAGACAGAGAGGTCAGACTGGGACAGAAAATTAAAATGACAGGCGATCAGAAAATATGGGCTACACATGTGATCTGAATGGAGGTGCTCTACAAAGTGATTACCCAATGTAGAGGAGACCACATTCAGACAGAAAATACAATCTACTCAACAGAATAGTACTGTTTCACTGGAAGAAAAATCTGGGATCTGAACAGTGACCAAGTGGGTGGGTAAGAGTTCCAAAACTCTCCAGTTGGCATTTCCTGACAACTGTCCTCATTTTTGCTTCCCTGTTATGTTCTTCTCTGCTTCAGTTTTATTTTGAAATAATTGGGATGATTGACAGCCAACTTTTAATGGCTAAAAGATGATTATAACAAAAGAACAATTACAGGAAGCGAAGGTTACACAGTAGGAATATAAGGATTACAATACTCTAATGTTACACACACTTCCTGTCATATTTTTGTATCGTAATATTCATTGCGCCGGTTTGTTACACTGGTAGACTCATCATTAGGTGTACCTGGGCAGTTTATTTGCTTCTAATGTGTCCTTTAAATTGGTGGCCAGGGTATCTTGTGGTTTCGTTACTGAGCTTTGGGAGCTTCCAACTGTAGCCCCACAATGGATGTGCTTGAATGCAATTCTCTGACCTGATGTTCACTGCACCCATAGTCCTATAAAATCAATGCTGCCAAACCTCTCCCCAATGCCCATGACCAGCCAGAGAGCTCCAAACCAGTGTAACCCAAGTTTTCAACCACATCCTTAATAGCACTCTCCCCAGCTAATGTCCTCTTCCACTCTATCAACACCATAGCCCAACTCCAATCCTATCCCTCTCTTGAGCCAGAACCTCGCTGGCAGATCAAGATCTGAGACTGACTTTGGCTCTGAGACCCACTCACAGACATGAAAGCTGTTCTTGTTCCTGGCCATTTCTCAGAAATCCCTTTGAAGTTGCTCTTAGTGTTAATAAGACCTCCCAAACTAAACTTTATAAATTATTGTAGCAGTCTTTGTGTTATTTTGGGGCTTACGTTCCATACTTATGCACATATTATCATGCTATGTGAAATGTAGGAGCAGGAGTAGGCCATTCAGCCCATTGAGCCTGCTTAACAATATGATCACATCTGATCATCCACTTCAATGCCTTTTCCACAGTACCCCATATCTTTTTACATTATTGGTAATTAAAACATTAATCTCTATTTTAAACATACTCAATAACTGGGCTTCTGCAGCCCTCTGTGTTAAGGAATTGCAAAGATTCATTACTGTCTCAGTAAATAAAAACCTCATCACTGTGGTTCTAAGTGGCTTTCTCTTATTGTGGTTGGTTGGCTCGCTGAGCTGGTTCGATGTTCTGCAGACGTGTCATTACCCTGCTAGGTAACATCATCAGTGCAGCCTCCAATGAAGTGCTGTTGTGTTTTCCCAAATGTTATTTAAACTCAGGTGTCCGTTGAGCTGGGTTTTCCTTCGCAGTGGAGTATATATAGGGTCTAGCTCTGTGTGTTTGTTGACGGCTGTTTCTTTCATTTTACTGATGACAATTGTGCTTTAGCAGGCTGGGGCCTATACTCTGGAATTCCCTCCCTTAAACTCTCCACCATTCTATATATCTTTATGATCATTAAACTCATATTTTTAACTTTACTAATGTCTCCTCCTACTGCTCGGTGTTAATATTTACCTGATGTCCATCATCATTAAACATCCGAACTGCTTATTACATTTCTCAGTCAGTAAAAGTGAGAATGATAGCAAGCATCTCTTAATCTCATAACCCTCGACCTTTTTTTCTCACAGTCATTAGCCTCTTCATGAAAAGGTGGTGGAAGCAGAGTCCTTTGATATTTTTAAGGAAAATGTGGATAGATTCTTGGTAAGCAAGAAGTGGAGAGTTTATTAGGGATAGGCAGGAATGTGTCATGATCTTATTAGCAAGGGGCTAAATGGCCTACTGCTGCTTCTTGTTCATTTGCTGAAACTGCGCAAAGGAAAATCCAAGAGAGAGCAGTTAAGGAGCTGTTGAAATGATCAGAGATTGTGTCAGAAGATCGAGCTGGTGTAGATGCCAGCTTGATGGCAAGATCTCAATTGGCTTTAGGTGTCTTCTGCAAGATTATTGACTTAGGACCAGGGAACAGATGAGATAAGTACCAGGGACAGTGAAAAACAAAACTAAAATACGACTGAGATGCCCAGCCTAATCTATGCAGTAAACAACTGACATCTTCTTGCTATCTCTCGAGTTTGCTCCCTTAATTTCCTCCTGGCCTCAATGTCCTACCTCAGGATACAGTATCACTCCTTGTTGACATGGCCACTCTTTGGTTCTGACTCTGAATAATAAGCTATTCTCTCATCGCTGTATCACAGTCTTGTGTGGTTCATACCAACACTCACAATGTGTATTTCTGGAAGCCATTGAACGGTTTATCATGGCTGATTTTAGACCCATATGGGGCATAGCTGTTGAAGCTTATATCAACCTCTATTATTGCCTTAGCTACAGTCCAGGTTACAGTTGAACCAAGTAAACTATAACTCAAATGGCAGTGCTCTCATATCTGATTTAGAAGGATGTGGTTTAAGTCCTTCTCTAGGATTTGAGTAAACTTTGAATGTTGGAGGCATGCTGCTATCTTTTGGATAAGGCGTTGAACTGAGCTGCCACCTGCCCTTTTCGGTGGACATAAATGACCTAATGGCACAAATTGGAAGAAGAGCAGATCAGATTTTCCCACTGCCTTGGCCAGTACTTATCCTTCAGTCAACATAACAAAATAGATTATCAGGAGTTATCAACTTGTGCTGTGTGCAAATTGGCTGCTGTGCTTCCTGAACAACTGTGGTAGTACTTCAAACATACTTGTTTGGCTATAAAATGCTTTGGTTGTGAAAGGTGCTATATAAATGCAAACCTTTCTATATTTTGGTTTGAGGTTTTTTTTGTAGCTTTGGGAGAAATGTTTGTATTTACACAGAAAATGACCAAAGTCATTGCTGCAAAAGTGGTCCAGAGTGAAATGACTGTTGTTATGCAGGCAGGCTTTGCGGCAGCACAACAAATATGCCCAATGAGCTGACAGAATCATAGAATGGGAAGAGGCCATTCACCCTCAACATGACAGTGACGGCTCTCTGCAGTGTCAATTTGGCCAGTCCCATCAAGGTGATCAAGTGTTGCGGAAAGCAACGTGGACAATTTGGCATGGGGTGTGGGTGTACGTGCGTGGGTGTGTGTGTGTGTGTGTGTGTGTGAGTGAGTTTGGGGCGGGGGATGGTCTTCTCCGGCCAGCAAAGGAGTGAAAACCTGTAATAGATGGCTGAGGGAGGGGAGGTGCTGTCGAACCTGAGGGACAGGGCAGCTGTGAACAAAATACTGGATGGTCTCGTAAAACCTGCACCTAGTCAGAGATAGTAAGAACTGCAGATGCTAGAGTCAGAGATAACACAGTGTGGAGCCGGAGGAACACAGCGGGCCAGGGGGGCAGGAAAGTTGACGTTTCAGAAATTATGAAAAAGGGTCCCGACCCGAAACGTCAACTTTGCTGCTCCCCTGATGCTGCCTGGCCTGCTGCGTCCATCCAGCTCCACACTGTGCGTTATCTCTGCACCTAGTCTGCCCTACTTCCGCCAGCCTTTCTCTATATCTGTACAACTATTGTCTCTTCAGCTAGTTATCTCGGCCACATTTGAATCTGCCTCGTCCCACTCACAGGCAGCATTATTGCTGATGCTAACCTGTCGCTGTGAAAGCCTTTACTCCTCACGTCGCCATTGCTTCTCTCGTCAATCACCTTGAAGCTGTGTCTCCTCTGGACTTCCACCAGTGGGGGACATTTTCTCCCTGCCTACACAGTCGAGATCCCTCGCGATTTTGAACACTTCTACCGAATCTAAATGAATCTACATGAGGAACTGACTGGCGATCAGTCCAAGCCATCACCAACACGTTACCATGGAGCCAACTCTCAACTAGCAGTACACCCACTTCTCAAAGAATCCTGGGATATTGGAGGGCCTCCCTGGGTCCTCCGAGCTCTGATTGCGGCTGTGCGCGGTCCCAGTGATCGCTGGGAAACAGGAGGGTCTCCCTGGGTCCTCCGAGCTCTGATTCGACGCCAACGTGACTCGAGGCGGTGCGCGCAGGCCCCTTACATGTGTCGTGTTGCGGTGGCCGCCGGGATAGTGGAGGGTAGTTTCAGTCCTCCGGCTTCTTCAGTCTTTCCGCTGGCTAACTGGCCGCGTTTTCGCTCGTTCGCTCTCTCCCTCTTTCTCTGTCTCTCCACCCGCTTACGGTTGCTTTGTCGGGGTTTCTGGTGAAATCTCTGCTGTGTGACATGGCTCGATGATCGAGGAGGGAATGTGTGCCAGGAAAGAGGCCGGCCTCCTGCTCCTGCCCTTGTTTGAGACTGAGGGACCGTCCCAAGCAGCACTCTCCACTGTACCAGGTTTGACATTCACTCTTCACAGGCTCGCCCGCCTTCGGGCTGTGTGTGTCCCGGCCTGTCATTACCGCCCACCACCACCCCCACCTTCCTCCCCACCAGCTGCTTCATCCTGCCCTCTCCTCCCGCAGGATTACATTCTATGGACTCCTGCCCTGCCCTGCCCTGCTGATCCTCGGTGAGGAGGA